ACACTTACACATTCATTAAAACATCATTTAAGTTGTGCCCTACGCGACTTCAAAGTATAAAATTCATCAATAATAGAATCTATATCTATATTATTGACAAAGTCTCGTTCAATGTAGATCATCAATGAATCTTCAAGAAAATCGTCTCCCATTTTGTTACGAAGTACCGTCTTCACATGCTTCATTGTTGAAAATGCTCTTTCCGTAGTAGCAGTAGAAACAGGTAGGGTCAAAACTAGACGAATTAGTCTCGTCAACATAACATAGATTTCTGATTTCCCACTCTCCGTCAAATGTTGACATAACTCAACAAGTGTGGACGCTTCAGATGTTGAAACAATATCATGCTTGTAGTGAATCAACTCATACTCAAGTGAGACAATGTCTTGATCAGTGAAATCTGCAGGATAAAACTTTTTTGCAAGTTTACAGATATCCTCACTGTTAAATGAGCTGAAGGAGTTCTTGGGATCCAAAGCAAGACTAAGTTGAAGAAGTTCCATGGATGTATCATTAAAGCGCGTGCCTAACTCAGTCAAAGTAAAATCAATCGCTTCATTGAAGACATCAAAATGATAGTGATGTTCTATTGTTGGTTGGAAACGAGAACGCCCAATCTTATATGGATCACCCAAATTTGGAACATCAATATCATTTGAAAAGCAAAAACTCTTCACTTCTTTAAGAAATTCCTCCCAACCAGATGCTAACTCTGCAAGGATAGTTTTAGTAGTACCAACGAATGTAATAGCACTCAAAATATCAAGAGTTTTTTTTGAAGAATCTAGCAAAGAACATCAGTTATTCTCAGAAGTTTATGCATCAAGTGTAAGACAAACACAAATTCAAAGCTTGCCATTTTTCTATAGGTCCCAAGAACTTCAGCTTTAGATCTTCCATTTGGAGAGTTCTCAACCAAATGTTCAAACACTTTGCAAGTTGCGGCATACATGTTTATCAAACTCTTCACGGAGCTATAGTGAGAACCCCAACGAGTAGATCCGGATCGTTGCAAATTACCAACTTGATTTGCGCCACATCCCAACTCGCGTTCCCGGTTGCTAATAACTTCTCAATTTCATTTCTTTGAGACACGTGCAACTCCGATACCCGCTTTGGTGAAGAAGTGATAATATTAACAATACTATCCAAATGAGAGAAGAATTCCCAAATTAAGCTAACATCCTTAGCCGCAGAAACCAACGCAAGTTGTAAGCGATGTGCAAAACAATGAATGTAATATGCATAAGGAAAATCTCTACGAAATAATGCCTGAAGGTCATTAAATGAACCTCGCATATTACTCCCACCATCATAACCTTGGCCTCTCATTTTTGAAAGTTGGAGGTCATGATTACCGAGCACATCACATATTTTACCTTTCAAGGTACTTGCTACAGTGTCACTAACACTTCTGATGGCAAAGAACCGCTCTGTGAGAATTCCCCTGCTGTTCACAAACCGTATAATAATCGCCATCTGCTCCTGTTAGATATATCTTGTGCTTCATCAAAAAGAATGCAGAAACAACTATTTTCAATTTCTTCACGAACCATTTGACGAACTCTATTTGCCATTATATTCAAGATCTCTTTTTGAATGTCGGGAGCAATGTACTGAGCATTTTTAGGAGCATTCTCAAGTACAACTTCATGAACTTTGGTATTCATAGTCGCAAAAGCTTTCACTTGTTCAATAAAATTTCCCCGATTTGATGATGTTACAGATTCATCATGACCTCTGAAGGCACAACCTTGAAGTGCCAACCATCGAACAGTTATAATAGAAGTTCTCAATCGCAAACGATTTTTCTCCTTTTCTTGTTGCGATTGGGCATGAAAAACATTCTTAATATGGCCAGATGGTTGGCTCAAATTTTCAGCTCTTTGAACACACATCATATGAGGTGATTTTTCTGAAATACCAATGTGTTGAAGAAATGCACATTGACTTCCTTGATTTACCCTCTTCCAACTTTGAAATCCTTCGTTAACTAATGCAGAAGTAGTATGCATATGAATGTCACTCAAGAAAAGGAAGCAGAAAAAACAGTAAGCTTTATTAGTCACAGGTGAGTACTCTAACCAATTAAACTTGTCAAACCAGTGTTTCTGAAAACTTCGGTTTTGAGCTCCAAACTTTTTCACTGGATAAGCTTCCATTCTCAGTTGATAAGGCCCAACATTTAAATATGCACGTCTAACTTCATCTCGCACATTAACATGGTATTCATGAATTTGTTTTCTTTTTCCCGGATCCCTCTCAATGGAAAAAGATGAAGGCAACTCAAAATTGGAGATAAATTGGATTTCAGAGACTAGGACATGTGAAGGAACCTCATTGAGTAGATCTTGCACTATCGTAGGTATAGGTTCAGAACTTCCTTCACCGGTTTGACGATTCACTTTTGAAAAGAATGATGAAATCAACTTCTTTCCCTTCTTGGCAACATGTTCATTATCCATTCTAAAAAAACATTTTCAATATTGGTATAAACTAAAAAACTTATATAAAAAATATAACTAATAAGGAACTATTTAACTAAATCTTGTATGATTCCCTAGCCTAGTAGCCCTAAAACTCTAAAATGCACAATTCACAGATAACAGATTCACTCATTCACTCTAAAATGCACAATTCACATATTCACTCTAAAATTACTGGTATTGTTCACCCTAAAATGCACAATTCACAGATTCACTCATTCAAAGTTCACAGATTCACAGCAGAAGTTCATAACTTCACTGATTCACAAATCAAAATTCAACACCAGTCACCATTTACATCAAGTCACCAAGAGTCCAAGAGGATTTACCTGGTCTGGACTGCTGAGTTGCTGAATGCTGATAAATCGAGACTCGAGAAAGGGAGGCAGTCGGGCAGAGGAAGAGGCAGCTCGGCGCGTCGCTGCTGTTCACGTCTCCGGCACGGCGGCACGGCAGCACCGGCGGCAGGTTCGCTGCTTCAGTGCGGACTGCGGACTGCGTCACTGCGGTCGCGCTGCTCGCTACTCTTCCTAGTTCCGTCACGCTGCTCGTGCACTCGCGCCGTCCCGGCGTCCCCGTTCGGCCGTTCTGTTCGTGAGTTCGTCGGTTCGTCACTTCGTCCCTTGACGGCTTGACTCCCTTCGTTCGACCGCAAGTCCGCAGGCGTAAGCGGTAAGCCGTAAGGGCCTCAGGGGTAAAGATGCGGTGGGCTGCGTTTTCTGGGCTGGGCTGGGAATTATTTGTGGGGTGGGCTGACATTTAAATTTAGGGTGGGCTGAGAATCGAAAATATACCAATACTATTAAAAAAATTTGGGCTGGGCTGAAGCCCACCTCTGGCCAGGCTACCATCCGCCCCTGTCTGGGACAAACATAAAAAAGAGATTTCACAAACATAAGTGTTTAAGAGTGTGTACCAAAAGTGTGTAGCAATAGATTTTTTCTTTTTGGATATATCTGGTGGGCCGGGGGACATGGAGGTGGCATGACCATTCATAATCAAAACTTACTGTTCCGAAAATGGTGTAAACGGGTCTATCTTATCTTAAGATGTAGAGCCAAATAACATTCCTGTGTAGTTTGTTCACATTACATGTTCCTTGAGTAGTTCAGTCTCATCTCTAACAACAAATTAGAAAAATGTATTACATATACATTAATGACATTGGGCACCTACCTAATCGCGCAACGCGCGTATAAAAACTAGTATATATATAGATGAAACTTCATGTCAGGCCGGTCTGACCGGGACAACCGTCCGGACGAGCCCATTTGAGGACCTTCCTGATGACATTTTTTTGATGAAATATTTTGAGCATGTTCTTCATCAAGTGTAGTTTACTTATACCAAATTTCATCTAAAAAATCAATCGGGAAGGCACTCAAATAAATTATTTAAGAACACTTCGCATTATATATATAAACAGCGCAGTATTTTTCAGAAAATTATTTGGATGCCTTTCCGGGTGAATATTTAGCTGAAATTTGGTATGAGTAAACTAGACTTGATGAAGAACATGCTCAAAAACTTTAATCAAAAAAATCCACCGGGAAGATCCCTAAACAGGCTCGGCCGGACGGAGGTTCCCATCAGGCGGGGCTCACATGAAGACTTACACACACACACACACACACTTTGTATTTATCTTCACTCTTCATTTATAAGATTTGAAGAAATAATTTAGACATGGAAAATACATAGTTAGCATATATCATTTTAACTTTTATACAGTTGATACATTTATTATGACAAAGTTAGCTAATACGACACAGTTGTATTTGTTATGTATTGTACTCTACCTGTATGAAAAGATGATTGATGATAACAATAGCAAATTGCATTTATATTTTATACATGATTCATTTGAATAAAATTGTGAATATTATAATATTTGTATCATCAACTCCTTTAGTTTTCTTTGAATATTTTATGTGATATTATAAATACTAATCAACAGTAAACTTATATTTTGTATGAAGTGAATCCTTTTGTAGTTATCGAATAGATGTTAGAAGTTTTAATTCATAACATTTTATTACTTCTTTTACTATCTTTTATTTCCTTTTACATTTTATTTAAATAATAAAAAACGAAGATGAGATAGAGTACCACTTTCATTTTCTAATTCTAAAATATAAAACTTGATCAAATAAAATAATAAACATAAGAAACCGAATCAAATCAAACCTAATAATTTTCACTTTGATAAATCGAACTTCAAACCGCATCGAACCAGAACCGAATAAAAATCAAACTGAAAATTAAATGATTTTAGTGTAATACAAATTCTGTCAAACCGAAATCAAAGAAAATCGAACTATATAAACAGAATTGTCAACCCTACCGTCATCCATGGTCCTAGATATTTGACATAAGAACCATTTAGCAACGAGGTTGGGTAGAACCACGTGTCGCTCATACCCCCTTCGATTTCCGCCACTCTTCATTTCTCCGTACATTCTCTGCCTCCTTACCCACCAAATATCCGGGCAATTTTGTCATTTCGATGTTCCCTCTTCCCTCACTCTCATCTCGTTTCCCCGTTCTTTCTTTCTTTCTTCTCCAGGCCCTCCGGATTGTTTAAGCTATGCCAACCCTCCTCCCCGTCCTTTCAATTTCTCTCACTTTTTCTTGATTTCCCGGCTTCCCTTAGCCGGAATATTCCGGCATATCGTCCTCCTATTAGTATAGTGAAATATTTAGTTCGTGGTTTCTTGGAATTCATCAGATACTGGTTTGGATTAATTGGTTCTCAAAGATTCAAACCTGAGGCTTTTTGGAGCTCAGATGCTCTTAAAGATCATATTTTGATATCTGGCTGTTCCGAGATTAGGCGGTAGAATGATTCAATATCCAGTTACTTGAGCTTTGATCAGTTTAATAGTATTTCTCATGGAAGACAGTCCTGAAAAAATGAAGAATATTGGGTTGGATGGAAGCAGATGTTCAAGGGACTTGTTGCAGAGGTTCATGGAAGTCACCTGCGGCGGTCCCGAGAAGGCAGCTGAGGAAGACGGAGGGGTGGAATTGAATCTTGGGTTGTCTATGGGTGGGAGATTTGGGGTGGACAAGAGTTCAAAAAAGCTAGTGAGATCTTCTTCCGTAGCTTCATGTTTGCAGATTGTGAGAGACGATGATGCGGTGCCTGCACCGCCGTCTCCGGTGGCGAATTCCAGTTTGGTCAGAACTTCTTCCCTGCCGGTTGAGACGGAGGAAGAGTGGAAAAAGAGGAAGGAGTTACAGAGTATGAGGAGAATGGAAGCTAAGAAAAGGAGATCTGAGAAGCAGAGGTGTTCAAGGGGATATAAAGATGCAGGCGCCGGCGCTGGCGGTTCTAAGAGGGAGGAGCAGTACTTAGCGGCGGCAAAGAGTTATTATGGAAGTGGGATTGAAGTGGGAATGTTGAAGGGGGGAAAATGCTACCCTTCATCTAGAGGGTCACTTGAGTCTCAAGGGGGTAGCTCTTCAAGTATATCAGAATTTGAAAGTAAAGTTCTTCAAGGTAACTTTATTGCTTTCAATAATATGGTTCTGTACTCCAGTCCTATGGAGTAATTTATTTACCGCTTCATTTTACCACAGTAAATAATTAGTGCTTAGTTCATTTTTAAGCTTGTGATAATTTCATGAATCTATACTTTATAGTTGTGGAAACTATTTCCAACCAAAAAGGGAAACTTGTTACATTTCCATCTCAAGCCTCAACATGCTACTTTTGACTTGGTTATCACTTTGTGTTGTTCTTACTAATTTTAAAGCTTTTTTCTTAAGTTTTTACCTCACTCCTTTTACTTGGGGTGACATAATGTGATGGAATACAAGTACAATTCCTATGGTTTAAACTTTTCTTGTTTATTACTCCACACTTCATAAAATTGATACTCTTTCAGGTGATAAATATGTGATTAAAAATTCAAAGCCATATAACTTCTCTCCGATCGGACATTATCAACTTTGAACTAAGTGTGAAACAAGAAAACTAAAAACTACTCCGTATAAGGTTTGTGTAGAAGAGAAAACAATAAGCTCGACCACTAATTCATTATTTTAAGGAGAATGTGTAGTTCTTGGGACAAATAGAGAAGGATAGTTTAATTTTATGACACGTAGAAGATATTAGAGGTAGATGAGCCTAGAACACCTTGTCAACACCCTGCGACCATAACTACTAATGTGTCTCTTCACTGGTGTGAGAGGTTTTCATGTTTGTATGGTTGTCTCTCGGTCCAAAAGGTGGAATCTCCCACCCGAGGAGTCCCCACCCCAAACCGACAGGATGGTGAGGGAGTTAATCCCGGTGACTCAGTCAGCAAAGCGGCGGTAGAACTTATACACGTGCGCACCAGAGGTCCAGCATTATTTCAGATTTTGTAACCTCCACATGGCCGCTGCGGGTTTTGAACCTTGGTCACTAGGTCCAATTGTCTCTTGTTTGCTCTTTTGTATACATTTTATCTTAGTGGATGATGTATAGGAATATTGGATGTACAATTGCAGAAAGGTAGTACACATTAGTTGACTTAATGGAATATATCTTTTCAAAGAGTGTTCTTTAGTTGGAATAAATGCTTTTTGGGAATTGGGAAAGAATGTTCCGTAGCACAACACAGAACATCTCAATATCCTTTAGCGGTATTACCTCTCGATCACACATAAACACCTTTATCGGTGCGTCAAGTCTCCCCTTCATATTATCAGATCACACATAAACACCTTTATCGGTGCGTCAAGTTTCCCCTTCATATTATCACTTCAGAGTAATAAAGTAAATTAATTAGAAGTGTATATAAAGTAAATTTATGGACGTCCTAATAAAGAATATAGAAAGTTCTTAAAGGGACGAAGGGAGTACACACAAGGATCCTTATTGTTTAAAAATAATAGTTTACTGTGCGTTTGGATGGCATGTTATACAGGTTTAGCCTAACGCCATGTGTGTTTAAATGTTATGTTCGTAGTAGACATCAAATAACATAAGTTACACCTCGAAAACATTGCCCACGACGATATATATATATATATATTTGCGTACAAGCAAACTGTGTGAAAATTCATTTTTTTCCTACAGGATCCTGTGAGTTGAGCCCTGGGAGTATTCATTCCTTGCCAGAGGGAAGAAGCCAAGAAGCCGGTTCTTCTACAACAAAGACAAGAGACCTTGCAAGAAAGATGCCAGGTGCCGAAACTGAAACATCATGTAACGAGCAACGAGAAACCGCAGGACTGCAGGCGAAAAAGGCCGGGATGGCAGCCGTGGAGGAGATGCCAGGTGTTTTCACCAAAGGAGAAGGCCCAAACGGGAAAAGGATAGATGGAATACTATACAAATACGATAAAGGTGAGGAAGTGAGAATAATGTGTGTTTGCCATGGGAGTTTCCTCTCGCCCGCTGAGTTTGTGAAGCACGCGGGAGGGAATGATGTTGCTCATCCCCTCAAACACATTGTCATAAACCGCAACTCTTCTTTTTTTCAGTAATTGTTGTATTATTTGTTGGAAAATTGGGAGTATTTCAAATGAAAATAAATAAATAAAACTTTACTTTTTTTTATTATTTTAAAATATTTTAATTGCTGCTCCTACGTACACTATGCACGTTACAATAGTGTTGGACTTAGAATTAGTATTATTAAATAATAATTACTCCCAACGGTTTTAATAGTTAGTGGGAGTTGAAGGAATTTTCAACATTAATTCCAACATTGATCTTATTTATTAATATGAACGTTAGTACTCTAAAGTACGTTTCACCTGATCGAGCATGCAACAACGTTCAATTTTTCCACTATATATTTGCTTACTTTGGTAGATGTCAAGTTCTACGTACATACCTGTTTACATGTGTGACAATAGATCATTTTTGAGCTCAAAACAGAAACAACAACTCTAATTGTACTCTGCTGGATTAATATTGTTCACTCTCATTGTTCTGTTACCGGCTTACGTCGAAGAGCTCGTTTTATCTTGGGGAAATGTGTTCGCTAGTCGGGAATATTTTTATGAGGACAACGTTTACGCGACTCGAGCTATAATATTTTCAAAAAACGATTTTTTGCAAGTTTATCCGGCCAATTTCCACCAACAATCTCAAGAAAGTATTTGGCGTCGGATATGCCTACACACATGATCTCACAAGGTGTCGTCGTTGCACTCATTGCGGCTATGATATTTTTGTATGTGTGGTGCGAATTGTACAGATATTTGGATGTATCTCTACGATGCTTACTCTCTTCACCTTCCTATTTACAATAAGCCATACTTTACCACTTTTTAAGAAAAATGTTATTCATTTATTTGGTGGTAAAATGACAACTATGAAAATTGAAAAACAAACCACTAAAATCAGGTTTAAACTTGGTCAGTAGTGATGATAATTTTATTGCGGTTATTTCTCAAAGTTCTAAAACTAATAATGTGAATGAGTAGGTGGTAGACTGCGGGGTTGCAAAGCATATTTGTAAAAACAAAAATGCTTTTACCTCCTATACTATTATAGGAGATGGTAAAGAGCTCGTGTACCTAGTGGACTGTAAAACCGTTATGGTGCATGGAAAATAGAAAGTTCTTGTGAAGCTCACATGGGGGAAAACTTTGTCTGTCCTGCCCCGGACCTATCCGGACACGTCGACAACCCGGCCCGTCGTACAATACGAATAGTAAACCGCAGTCCAACTCATCCATATTATACAAGGCGTCTCGAATATCATTCACACATAAGTCATCCATAAACATACATAATAAGTAATTGAATACGCAGCGGAAAATATAGTTTGAAAATTAATGCCACACGGGGCAAACACGAGCATGTAGGCTCCATAATGAAAAACAATATCCATGAGCATGTTTTAAAATGTTTAAAAACAGAATGGAGGAAGCATGAACCAAGTTTTCCCCTCCGAGATGATCGCTCGATCAATAAGCACAGGTAGCAAGCTCTAGTCTCAACCTGAAATGGTGGTGGCCTGGGATGCCCCCGAAAGGGGGTCAGTACTCTATACGGCTATAAAGTACTGGTGTGGATGGCATCTAATAGATATACAATAAGTATTTTAAACACAAGACCCTCAAATAGGGTGATAATATAACCTAGGCCATAACCCCAAGTTACCCATTTTCAAAATATACTTACTTTATATATAAAGTCAAGTAGTCAGCCCGTAGGCCTAAGGTTTGTTTACAAAACATAACTCAAACCCCGTGACCCCTGGTCACAATAATACATAGGGTCCAACCCTAACACATAAGTTTGCATTTCTTGAGTCCAACTCAACTACATCACCATGCACCCTATATGACACAAATTAATTACTCCACCGTGCATTTCTTGAGTCCAACTCAACTACATCACCATGCATATCATAGGCTACAGCCTCATATCTCCCATGCATTTCTTGAGTCCAACTCAACTACATCACCATGCATGTCATCAATCACCACGTCGTGTCTACCCAATGCAATTCTAGAGCACGGGCTCAAGTACATCTCCTTACATTGGCATAGACCCCAATTCCTAAGCACTCGCTATGCCTAGAATCGTAATATCAATAATCTATTTTGGGACATCCTTACGGGCTGCCCAATCATGATCTTAGCATCAAATTACATCAATTTAGTCACTTGCATCACAATCAAGTACATCAATTACAATCAAATCCTTAGATTCAATTCCTTAACAATTACAACAATCATTTAGTATTTCAATACTATTAAGATTATTCTTATCCATCATATATTATATTTGTAACTCCCTACATATTTAGAGATATGTAGCAGAAACTTAATCATCCAATGTAATACATAAATAATCATTTATGTATCTACACAATTCACACATGAGTAAAAATGTCTATTTCACACAATAGTTCATTTAACTCCATTTTTATCAATACAATTCCAAATCATTTCCCATTTCATTCTTTGGAAACTATATCAATATTTCATCAATAATTTATCATCATAACCCATGAAAAACATGATTTAGCCATTTAGGTAATCTCATGCTTAACCTACAAGTTGTAAGCAACTAGATGTTGATCTTCACCTCAAATGAGCTTTAAATTGTTCCTTCTCAACCCAATGCTCAAGCTTCAGCCAAGGGGGTTTGAGATATGATTCCTTGCTTATAAATGATTGTTAAACAGCCTCCTCAAGGTGCTAGCTCAACTCCTAGCTGAAGACACGAAAACAGTTCCTAGAACGGGTGTTTTCCGGCGAATTCGTTCCCTAACCTTTCAATGTTTTGTCTAGGTTAGTATCTAACCTTTCAAACAATTAAAGTTGCTTCATAATAACATATTATACACTTCAACCAGTGTATAATATTTATTCAACCATTTATATGATTTAGACAATAGAGAGGAAGGTTTTGGATTCAAACTTACTTTGAATACCAAAAACGTATTCTATGCGGTTTTGTTGTATTCGGACGATTTGGAGGCCTTAAACTGCTCCGTTTTCTTCAAACCGCACGTCTATGGTTCCTCTTCTCGAGATTTTTCAATGGGCACCTCAAACGCCTTAATTGGATGAGGGAAACTCAAGATATGAGTCGAACAAGAAGGCCTACGCACCTGGAAAATATCCTGCGGCCAGCTCTCCTATCTCCCTCTAGAATGGTTTGTGAGGCTCTCCCTTCTTCCTTATCCCTTTGAGTTCAAATTGGGGTGAGGGGGAGGTGTTTAGGAGCTCTCTAAAGGTTATCTAAACGTGTGGTTCACAAAAATAAAAGGTAGGGTGTTTGATTGCAACCAAACATGGGATGGTCCTCCTCATTTATTACTTTTTGTATTGTTTGAGCTCTCAACTCAATAGGTCCGTCTCATTTATGTATTCTAACTTATTCTACCTGTTTTGCAGGTTCTAGGAAGGTGTGGGGAACCCTCTTATGTCCCCTGATTAATTTGGGATCAAAATATCTACCAATACTTCCAAAAGTGGAAAGATGGGTCCTATTGTTTTTGTCTTTTGTCATAAGATGTACTTTTTGTACTTATCCTCATTTATTTAGATCAAGCTAACCTTCTACATCATATTATTGATCTCTAATATGTTTAGGATGGTCCCATTAATTTATATGATGTATAATTACAAAAGAAAATCCCACTCCCATTATTTAGCCTAATAATGCCAAAGATGGGACCATAGGCATTTGTATTCTTCTCCAATCATCCTATCACTTACTTATGACATTAATATTCATGTAGCTGGGCTATTAACCATGTGGGTCACCCTCCAGTGGGTCTAGGACGCCATTCTTGAATAATTGCTATTTTTAGCAGGTTAGGCCCAAAATAACATTTGGGCTGCCCGACCGCTCTTACTTTGTACCGAGGGGTTATACATTTTTATTTAAGAATGTTGGGACCCAATATCAATAAGATGGCCCAATTAATAATTTAGAAGTCCATTCCTATTATACGAGCCCAAACGGTAATATGACTACTCATAAGTTACGTAAAACTTTAATCGTTTTACAATTGTTCGATAATAGTGAAATTCAATACATAAGCTTTGAAATTTAGTTTGAACTTCAAGGACGTTCGGGTGCGGTGTCACATTGTCACTAAATGATGTGCTTCATGTGCTTCTTTTGGAAAAAATTGGGGTTAAAGTTTCTTTTGGTTGTGACATTTTTGTTATGACCAAAAATGACGTTCTTCTGGGAAATGGCTATTGTAAGAATGGACTTTTGTGCTTAGTATTTATGAAATATTGCATGATAATGCTTCCGTTTATTTAATTGATTCTTATGATGTCTGGCATGCTAGACTAGGACATGCAAGTAACTCTTATGTTAAAATGCTAGGTGATTGTGGTTTGATTTCTTTTAAAATAAAATGGCACTAGAAAAATGTGATGTTTGTGTTCAATCTAAACTAACCAAAAACTTCTGATCCCACCATATATAGGGAATCAAAATTGCTTAGTTTAGTTCACACGGATTTAGGTGATTTAAAAAATACCATGACTAGAGGTGGTAAAAAATATTATATCACCTTTATAGATGATTTTTCTAGATACACTAAAGCTTATTTGCTTAAAATTAAAGATGAAGCTTTTGATAAATTTTTAGTGTATACATCTGAGGTAGAAAATCAATTAAATAAAAAGATTAATAGAGTTAGATCAGATAGAGGGGGTGAGTATATTTTATTTAAATATTTTTTGTGAAAAAGAAGGGATTATTCATGAGGTTACTCCGCCATATTCACCCGAATCTAATGGAATAGCTGAAAGAAAAAATAGGACACTAAAAGATATGATGAATGCTTTTTTAATTAGTTCCGGTGCACCTGATAATTTTTGAGGGGAGGCTATTCTTTCTGCATGTCACTTACGAAATAGGATTCCTTATAAGCACAATAACAAAACCCCTTATGAATTCTAGAAAGGTTTTGCGCCTAATTTGAAATAATTGAAAGTGTATGGATGTTTAGCTAAGGTCTTATTTCTTGATCCTAAGAAGAGGAAAAATGGTTCGAAGACTTTTGATTGCATGTTTATTGGTTATGCTAAATCTAGTGCTGCTTTTAGATTCCTTGTTTTGCAAAGTGGTGTGCTTGAATGTGAT